TAAATTATTTTTGTTCGTTTTATAGTATTTAACAAAATGAAACGTGAATGGCGAAATTATGGTTCTTATACGTCATGTGAAGAAATGGATGAAGTGCGTCGACGTGAAAAAGTATCGAAACGTAAAAGTGTCACGTCAGCCCATGGCACGAAAGTTTTTTATCGTTGTAACAATTGGCGACGCACAAGATGTAATTTTCGGATGTATGCTATTATTTTTACATCCAGTAAAATATGCTTATTTGCAAGTGGTGAACATGATCATACTGCTAAAGATCCGTATTACGTTTCCGAAGTTATCAATCCACGTAAGTGATTTTTTTATCTTTTTTCTCGAAAATTTTTTAATGCAATTATCATCAATCATATGATTGGTATCCATTATTTAACATTTTGCTATAGCACGTATCATATAATCACCAAAGCAATGCCTTATCATTGATACCAAATAATTATCATTCTATGATCCAATTGCAAAAAATTACAAAAGCAATCATTCGACTGTGATCAAAAAAGCATATCATTTTTTTATTATTTTATTATTTACCATTAATGATAGGATCATTTCATGGGTACATTTTTTATATCTTTATCACTATGAATAGTGTCATGTTGTGGTAGGATACGAAGCAGTCAATAATTATAAATTTTTTCCTAACGTGATTTAAATTTGAAAAGGTCACGATTTAGATATCACGTTTCTAGCTTGAATTCATGACATTGAATGGCAAAACTTTCACTGAAAAAATGAAAAAAAAAAAGAAAAATTGATAAGAAAATTGTGAATTATGTTAATGTAGTTGTTTGAAATAGTTTTGATATGAATGAAATAGAAAAGTAATACAATTAACAACGACTAATTTGATATCATTTTTGGTCTTAAGTTAAGTTTATCATACCAACAAAATTTCATTTCAAAAGATATGTTGAGTTTCTGATGATTGATAATTCTAACAATAAATTATAAATCAGAGTTGTTCATTTGGATATTAATTATGTGAATTAGCTCTTGCTAAATGAACTTGAAAAATATATTTCTTTTTGTTAAGGATAAGTAATGCGATTTGTTCGCGTAAATACGTTTCATCATTTTACAGAGATACAAAGAGATCCTGAAAGCACACGTCCATCCACGGCGCAGCAAGATATCCTTACGCAGTTCGTCATGAATGCTACTTCTAATAATGCATTACCTGGTGCCGATCCA